GTCAGTATATCACAGTGGAGCACACATGTTTTCGTTAGTGATGCTGTCAAAAGACTGCCCAAGGACTTATTCCTGTATTCAACCTGTCTTTTACTGATATATTTGTGAGTGATTAGGGCAGGGCAAAGGTTTCACTGGGTCAGAGAAATTGTTCTGAAATATCTAAGAGCCTAAGGCAGATTTGCTTTTTTTTTTTTTTAATTTGCATCAAGAAAGGAAAGATGGTAACATTCTTATTTTAATTCGCATAACATAATTTAATTTAGAAATAATGGCTAATTTTCTCCAATTGGTTTTCTTGTTCCACAATAATTAAAACATATTATTTTCATTTATTCAATGAATTCACAACTGTTTGTGTGTTGTGCAATAAATGGAGGTTTAGGAGTCTTCGGAAGTGTTGAGCTTAAAGCATGCTGAAATTAAATAGGGCAAAAGAAAGTATTGATTCAAAGTTGTATCCAGTTGTTTGCCCATGGTTGCTGTTCATTCTTTAAATGTTCAAAATGCCAATTAACTTAATATAGCCAAATGTATTGCCTGACCACAAAGCAGTACCATACAAAAACAGAGACATTCTTCTTCTGTGAAAGCAAATTCTCACGACATGTTCACCATACATAGTGTGCCTCGGAGATATGTATTTCAGCTAGCTGTATCAGATGATTTTACAAGTTACAAAACTCTTTACATTACACATCATTAAAATTCATTTAACCAGTTCCTTAGCTTGTTGTTTGGTACCTTCCTTATTTTTCGTTTGGATATTAGCATTCTAGCTGCTGGTCTGTAAAAGTACCTCCCTGTACTTTCCCATATCTCATCTGAATATTCCATTCCAAATACTGATGAGCCATGAAAGTTTCCCCTAAATGTATTTGATACAAACTTTTCTTGTATCTTTGCTTTGATGAATTTCCTGTTCTGTAAAAGCAAAGCTGACTTCAGCTTTTCAAAGTGCTGTGGAATAAATTATGTGGATGAATAGAATCGTAGGAAGAGCATATCACATTCAGATAAACTTCTCTATTCTGTATATTAATACCATGTACATAATAACTTTGAACATGGTACATACTGTGCCTAACATATGTGTCGGCTAATAAAGTTAGTGAGACATACAGGAAGTCTTTGAAGTAAATTGGCTGGCTATATTCTAATAGGTAATTATTGTATAAAAGCAATCTGTGTGGTATAGTAAACTACTTACCTGTAGGATCAACCCCAAGAATTGAGCCTAACTGTAAATCTGTTTTAAAAACTTTACAGTGAAAAATATACAAATGTTGTATGTGGTATATAGGGCTGTTAAGTGATTGAAAAAATTAATTGCGATTAATTACACTGTAAAACAATAAGAATACTATTTAAATATTTTGATGTTTTTTACATCTTTTAATATATTGATTTCAATTACAACACAGAATACAAAGTATATAGTGCTCACTGTATTATTTATTTTTATTACAAAACATTTACACTGTAAAAAAAATTCAGTTTACCTCACTGAAGTATTGTAGTGCAAATTCTATCATGAAAGCTGAACTTAAATTATTTTATATAATCAATATATTTGTGTTCTATTCAAAAGAATCCTTTTTTAGTTCAGCCCCAGCTGCGGCGGCACAGGGCTCAGGGGTAGGGGTCAGCCCCCCAGCTGGGGGGGGGGGGGGGGGGGGGGGA